GAACCGGTGGCCGTTTATGAATGGCAGGTCCTCCCCTTCGGTACAACCTGCAGCCCATGCTGTGCAACCTTCGCTCTGCAGCACCACGCCAGGGACCACACGGAAGGAGATGATCCGCTACGTCACTCTGTGGGACAGTGCTTCTATGTTGATAACCTTCTCCAGAGCGTGCCGACCCCTGAAGAAGCCCGGGACCTAGTGGACAGGCTAAGAGCCCTCCTGTCTTCTGCTGGATTTGTCCTTCGCCAGTGGGCCAGTAATGAACCCAGCACCATTGGCCACCTACCTGAAGACCTCAGATCCACAAGTGCAGAACTTTGGCTCACTCAAGACAAATCAGACACCTCTGAGCCAACTCTAGGCCTTAGCTGGCACTTCCCCACGGACACCTTGGGTTACAGACACCGCAAAATCAGTTATGGCGCCCCCACCATGCGGAATATTTATAAGGTTCTCGCAAGCCAATACGACCCACTTGGCTTTATCCTACCGTACACCACCCGAGCCAAGATGCTGGTGAGGCGCCTTTGGGATCAACAGAGGGGATGGGATAGAATTAGAATAGAATAGAATAGAATTCAACTTTATTGTCATTGCACATGCACAGGTACAGGGCAACGAAATGCAGTTTGCATCCATCCAGAAGTGCTTTAGTGATATAGATATATTACAATATATATTAGCAATAATATAGATATGTGAGTATATTACAGAAATGGGTCTATTATGGTATGTTATAATGTACACGGTATGAAGTATGTTGTGAATATTCTATAACTATAAGTATGTACAGGCTGTAGTGAGTACAAGCTATGTACAGGATATGAACAGGATATAAATATGAAAAACTATACAGAATATGAAATAAATAACTTTACAGAAATCTGAGATATACAGTTATACAGAAATGGGAACTATGCAAGTTGTAAACAGTTGTAGGGTTAAAAATTATCGAATGTACAGAATGATTATTTACACAGAGCTATACAGTAGTGCAGTTAAGATAAGTGAGATATATGACCCGCAGCTTCCGCCAGAACTACTGCAGCAGTGGAAAACCTGGGAAGTCAAGACAAGTCCTGCTTCCTCGCCCTTATCTCCCAAAGCACATCACGGAGTCAGTTAGTGAGAGAGAGATTTACATATTCTGTGATGCGTCAGAGCAGGCTTATGGCGCAGTGGCCTACATGAGAACAGTGACAGGTGATGGCAGCTCACATCTGGCCTTCCTGATGGCTCGCTCCCTTGTTGCCCCTAAACGCATTCTCTCCATGCCTAGACTGTACTCACCTGGTTGAGGTCCGAGTCATGCCACTTCAAGGTCTTCGTTGGCACCCGTGTGGCTGGATTCAGCCCAGAACCCCGCGGATGACCCGTGGGAAGTCCCTTCCAGAGCTGACCAGACCGAACAGATGGAGTCAAGGGCCTTCTTTCCTGCTCCTAGGTCCAGAACAGTGGCCTCCAGAGCCAAGCGGCACCCTGGCTGAGCCTCCAGGCCCATCTGAGCTACGTAAAGAGACCTTTTGTGGAGTTTCTACCACCTTTGACCCCACCACCTCGAACTTCAGCAAATATGACACCTGGATACAGCTGCTGGAAGCTGCTATTACGCAGTTGCACGGGGCGGCTAAAGGCGGTGGAACTTCATCGGCTTATGACTATATTCGAGCAGAGATGCACGTCCTGAGAGAAGCTCATCAGGAGAGCTTCCCTGAGGAGTACCGACTCCTTAAGCAGGGGAAATCTATCAGTTGCAGCAATCGTCTCCTTGCACTATCCCCTGAGTTCGACCACAAAATGAGGTCATCTGTGTAGGTGGACGTCTTCGCCGCTCCGAAGATCTCGCCTTTACCAACTCCCATCCTTTAGTTTTGGATCCAACACATCCAGTCACCCGCCTGCTCATCCAGGATGTCGACAGTCGCCTGCGTCATCCAGGGCTAGAGAGGGTCTTCGCGGAGATTCGGCGCACTCATTGGATCCTGAGAGGCCGGGAAGCAGTTAAGCATTTTCAAAGGACCTGTCTTGAGTGTTGCAGATGGAGAGCCCGACCAACTGTTCCCAAGATGGCTGACCTGCCAGTTGCGGGCCTCCGCCTTTACAAACCTGCCTTTTATTCAACAGGCGTGGACTGTTTTGGACCCTTTGAGGTCAAAATTGGGCGCCGTGTGGAGAAGCGGTGGGGCATCATCTTTAAGTGCCTAACTATCAGAGCGGTCCACCTTGATGTCCTAACCTCCATCGATACGGATGCCTTCCTAATGGGACTTCGACGTTTCATTGCCAGGAGAGGAACCCCAGCTAAGCTGTACTCAGACCAAGGGACCAACTTCCGTGGGGGAGAAAGGGAACTCCAAGCAGCTTTTGCAGCCATGACCTCTGACCTGCAGAAGCTCCTGGCTCCCCATAAGATCGTCTTCCACTTCAATCCACCAGCGGCTCCTCATTTCGGGGGAGTGTGGGAGCGGGAGATTAGATCTGTCAAGACTAGGGATGGGTATCGAAAACCGGTTCTTGTTGAGAACCGGTTCCCACTGTTTCAATTCCTTGGAATCGTTTGCCATTTTTGCAAACGATTCCCTTATCGATTCCAGTCGCCCCGAATGATGCGGAGCGTCATTTACCTGGCAGGAAACACGGCCCCTAAGCGGCTCAAACGCTCAAAAGTTTGATTATACTTTATGAGAACCGATGACAACAGGGCAACTTGCAAAGTAGATATTTCATTTAAGGGAGGAAACACTACGAATATGCAAAAGCATTTGCTCACAAAACACGCGATGACACGCGTTTTTAATTCCGCTCCGGACTCGTGAATCTCAACCCAGCAGCAGCGCTAACGTTTGCACGTCCTCTCCCGTTAATGCGGCAGGTAAATAATCAACTAACAGTGCATATTATGTTAGCGCAATCTGCCTTATTACAAGACCTGCCATTACTGTACATGTAGGTGACCATGATGAGAGAGACAGACAGAGTCTGGCTGGCGCTCGCTGGCAGTTCTCGCTGCAGTCTACCGGTAGCGTCTCCTTTCAGGCCAGGATAGACGAATGTCACCGAGCAGTGTCTAAGTTTGTGGTCAAAGGCTTGCACCCATTTGCCACAGCAGATGCCCCCGATTTTTGGTAAGTGAATGTGTTTAATTGTAGGCAGGGACATTACTGGATATTCTTGTGTAATTGCCACAGAACAATTTATGTTATACTTTGTTATTGCTACAGAAGAATGTTGCAGCTTTAAGGCAGGGATGACTCCTGGAGTTGCTTTCTCACTGCATATGCTTTATTTCACAATCAGATCGATTCGATAACAAAAACATACAGCAGCTCCTCTCCTACTCCTAGCCCTTCGCTGCGGTGGAAAAAAGAACGACTTCAATCCCCTTCAAGGAACATG